GGTCAACAGAAGTTGGCCTGTTAAGGGCTAAGAGTTTGTGTTGTAAACAAGCAGTGGTGAGCTGCTATGGGATATGGGGAGGGGAGTGGTGATCAGATTTCCATTTTTTTTTTTTTTTTTTGTAGATTTTATTTATTTATTTGACAGACAGAGATCACAAGTAGTCAGAGAGGCAGGCAGAGAGAGAGGAAGGGAAGCAGGCTCCGCGATGAGCAGAGAGCCCGATGTGGGGCTCGATCCCAGGACTCTGGGATCATGACCCGAGGTGAAGGCAGAGGCTTTAACCCACTGAGCCACTCAGGCACCCCCAGATTTCCATTTTTAAACTATCACCCTGAAGTGGCCTGGAAAAGAGGGTCTGGGGGACATGAGACAGGGGAGTTGGAGGAAGAAATATCAGTGATGACATTGCTGTTATCCTCTGCATAAGTTCATTTTGAAGGCCTGAATGGAAAGCAGTAGAAATAGAATGAATGAGTGGATTCCAGAAATGTTCAGATAAAATCAACAGACCCTAAATGACTGATTTGATGTAGGGGAAGGGTCAAATCTGGATTGAAGAAGTTTGAAAATGTTGAATTGAAGTGCCCGTGGAATAGTCAGTTGGAAATCCAGAGCCACTGGATAACTGAATCTAAATTTTAGGGAAGATTTGGCTGCACATGTATGTGTGGGAATCATCTGATACAGGTGCTAGCTGAAACCAGGGGTATGGGAGCAGTACCCGCATGAGAGGGACTGTGGATGTGGAAAAGGGAGCAGATGGTGGACTGCAAATACCACAGTTGACAGGGTGGTGGAAGGAAACAAACAAACGAAAAACCAGGCAAGACCAGAGAGGACTGTGTCATTTAAGCCAAGAGAGGGGCCATTGGTCAGCAGCCTGAATCCCCACAGCTTGGGTGAGATAAAAGAGTAAACAAGCTAAAAGCTTTCTGCAACATCACATCTAAACTTTCGCTAATGCCATCGCATCTACCCCACTTGCTGCCTTATTACTCCCCAACAGCCCCTCTGCTCATGGACCCACAAAAAAGCCACTGCATTCCCTCACTCATATTCACCCCTCTCCCGGAATGCCCTGCTCCTAACCCCTTCACGTGTCTCAGCCCCAGCATGCCCAGAGTATGCTCTGCTCTGGAGACCTGTTTGTATTTCACTCTCTTTAACACCCAATCATAAGTGGTCTGGTGATATTGGCTACAGATTCATGAACTTTCGAAATTACCTTGTAGGCTGTTTGAGGTGAGGGGTCTTATTTTTATTCTTCCTTCTTGGCTTTTGTAGTCTGCAGTATTGTTGAGCTGACAGTCTTTGTTCTGGAAGAGCTCTGTTGATCAAAATATGATGAGCTTAGCCAGTACATGAGAATTCTTCAGGAAGATTTCATTTTGACTGTCTCAGCAGAGGAGCTGGAGATAACCCTGTGCACAAGAGATCATTCTAAGGTAATATCTTGGTTGGCTGATGATGACATCATCAAGGAGAAGTCCATGGGGACATGAGGGGGAGACCCTTACTCAGGGCCAGCACCAGGAAGGATGGAGGTGTGTGCCTGCACTAACATCATGAGGCCAATATGTGGTTTCCTCCCAGATAGGCTCTCAGACTTTACAGCTGGCCCTTTGAAGCCTATTTCTAGAAGCACAACACACTCTGGCTCAGTGAAAGTAGTGCTGTCTATGGGGGTAGCCACTGGACGGGGGCTTCTGAAGTTAATGATGATAAAACAAAAAAATCTACCCTCTCACCATTGCTGTGGCTGTGGTGGCTGTTCTCAGATGAAGGGAGAATTTTATGGCTGGGGAAGGGGCAGTTGCTGAGCACGGGACAAAGAAATAATCCCCTCTTTTTCTGACCATTATTTTAGAATTTTTCATGACCCTGCACTTCCAAAGAGGACTTTAGATCCTTTCACCCATAGATACATGACCTAGATCTTTATAGCATCCTCACTGCTGACAGAGATAAGAGATCATATCTTGAGTCGGAGGCCAATGGGGTGGTGTCAGCAAACAGGTCTCCTTGTGTTGGGCTGCACACTCCAGAGGATGGAGTTATTAAGGAGACCCTGAGGCTGGTGTGGCAGCATTTTAAAGATCCTTGGGAAAGAAAGCTTCATTTGCAGGAGGAATAATAATTCTGCCAATATATTTTTCCTGTGCATCCTTTCCTTTGAAGCGAAAGTTAAAACCCTTATATCTTGTACTTCTCTGCTTCTTAGTTATTTTTTTTTTAAAGACTTTATTTATTTATTTGAGAGAGAGGCAGTGAGAGAGAGCATGAGCGAGGAGAAGGTCAGAGGGAGAAGCAGACTCCCCATGGAGCTGGGAGCCCCATGTGGGACTCGATCCCGGGACTCCGGGATCATGACCTGAGCCGAAGGCAGTCGTCCAACCAACTGAGCCACCCAGGCGTCCCTCTGCTTCTTAGTTCTATAAACCTCTCCTAGTTTATTTTCCATAAGTATGAGAGAAGTAGAAATAATTTTCTGAAAAGGACTTGTCAACCTAAAGCCATGAATTGAGGTTGGTGATAAGAAGACTGGAAGAATGCTTGGGGTAAGAGCCCTGCACACAGGGCTTTCTGGAAACTGACAATAAAGCAGCATCATGATCTGTCCTTTCTCCCTCAGAAGAGACAGATGCCAGTTAATTCCCAGGTCTGCATTGTGCTTGGTTCCAACTATTAGACAACCAAAACCCAAGTTTTCAGTCCTTAGAAATTCATTTGTATTATTGCCCTAGACACCGTATTTTGTGGAGACAAACATAAGCAAAAATGGTGCAGTCATGTGTTATTTAACTTTGGATGTGGACTTGTCTCCAGTTGGTTTGGGTGCCCAGAGATGATGGAAACACCCTTAGATGGCAATGCTTGGTGGGGCCTACCTGGGAGCATCTTTAGGGATTCCTTCCTCTGCAGCTCATACCCCCAGTGACTCACCTCTTTTACTCCCAAGGACAAAATCACACCAATATTTCTATCTGATTTCCCTCTCCACTTCACAAGAGATGTCAGAAGCCTATATCTAAAGAATAGCACTCTTTAATTCCGCAGAACTCCAGCAAAGCCCAGCTCCCCCCAGGCCACATGCTTCTCAGCCAGTAGCCACAGGACAACTTGAAACATTATCCAGTGTCCCAGGCCCAGTCATGCAATGGGTTCACTTGATTCTGGGGCCAGCATACTCCACCTGTTCCCACCTTCCCGTCCCTTTCCCTTAGCCCTGATGTCCTCTGTCAGCAACAGCCACAGGAGGTCAGTTGGAGGAGTCTCCCATCTAGAACTTAACTCCCAGTTCTTGGATCCCCCTGCTGGCCAACAGCAGAAGCACGGCTTAGCTTTTTTTGTTTGTTTGTTTTAATGAATTAAGGTATTCTGATGACTGTTTTCTTTCTCTCTCAGTCACCCTCTTTTTGTCCTTCTGACTCCATAATTCTTTTTTTTTTAAGATTTTATTTATTTATTTGACAGACAGAGATCACAAGTAGGCAGAGGGGCAGGCAGAGAGAGAGGAGGAAGCAGGTTCCCTGCTGAGCAGAGAGCCCGATGCGGAACTCGATCCCAGGACCCTGAGATCATGACCTGAGCCGGAGGCAGAGGCTTAACCCACTGAGCCACCCAGGCGCCCCCTGACTCCATAATTCTTAATAAGCATTTAACCACCACAACCACTCATACAGTATGCAGAATTACTACTCCCATTTTACAGATGAAGAAATTGAAGCCTAGATAGCTCTATCTAGCCCAAGGTTACCCAGCAGATGGCCCCAAACCAAGGACTGAATCCGGGTCTCCTTGGACTTTTTCATTTTATTTTATTTTATTTTATTTACATTTTATTAATTTTCATGCCCTGCATTTTAGACCTGGTATTTTTTTTCCTTTTCAATATTGATTAAGAAATGTGAGTAGGAAGATTAAATTTTCCTCACTAAAATTAGTAGTGCCTTGAGCAGCATTTGGTGTATCTCTCCCAGCAGAAGGGCTCTGAAGCGAAGGGGACCATTTAGATAAATTGATCAAGTTTTAAACTTCTCTGAAGAAAAGAGGCTGGGAAATATGAAGTAGAGAAGGTAGCTGTATATATGCTGAAAATCCATTTCCAATCCATTTACCCAAAAACATTCACATGAAATTTTGCAGCTATTTTGTGAAATGTTTCATGAGACAATTGCTATGCTCATCTGGCTCATCTGTCATGTAAAAATTTCCAACTGTAGAGTAAATAAGCATTTTTGAGGTCTGAAATTCATTGAGTACAGATTTAGGTACCCAGGAGAGGCAAATCCAAAGCTACTTACTTTCCAGAGCATAATTTAAAAAGAAAAGAGAAACACCCCTCCCAATCTTTACAATTAGATTTTATGTTAAATTTAGGCCACATGCTAATTTTCTTTAACTGTTAAATTATTTCCCAGAATATGTACTGGTCTTTATCAACCAAATTCACGACTCTCATTCGCCTGTCTTTACATTGAAGTTCAAGTTAACTATTGCTTATCTCAGAATTTCAAGTTACTGGTGAACTTAGTGGATATTTTAAGATGAGGTGCTTAAGAAGTGTAGGCTGTGGTTAGCACTATAAATATTTTAAATTTTGTAGTATCTCATACTATTAGAGCGTGGGTGATGACTACATTATAACAGCATCTAGGAATCCTCAAAGCCTCTGAAGGTACCCTTACTTATCTTGTGGCTGCCATTACAACAGGCTGGCTAACAGCCCCATCCTACTAGATGGGACTTGGCTTCACACCGCAGTGGGTAGCAGAGACGAAACCAGAACTTTCGGCTGGGAGGGGATCTTGGTATAATTCCACTGGGTACAGACGCAACAAAAATGAGGCTCAGAGAAGCCGCACGCGGCTCCCGGGCTCCCTGCGGCTCTAGAAGCACTAAGCAGCCCCACAGCCCTTGCTGCCACCGCAGCTCCGTTCGCCTGCCCGCCCCCCTTGCCGGTGTGCCGATTCTCCTGTGTTCTCCTCAGGTCCCGTCGGCCGCGCCGGCAGCCATGACGACCGCCATCTTGGAGCGCCTGAGCACACTGTCGGTGAGCGGGCAGCAGCTGCGCCGCCTGCCCAAGCTCCTGGAGGACGGCCTTCCCAAGATGCCCTGCACCGTCCCTGAGACCGACGTGCCCCAGCTCTTCCGAGAGCCCTACATCCGCACCGGCTACCGCCCCACGGGCCACGAGTGGCGCTACTACTTCTTCAGCCTCTTTCAGAAGCACAACGAGGTGGTCAACGTGTGGACCCACTTGCTGGCCGCCCTGGCCGTGCTCCTGCGATTCTGGGCCTTCGCTGAGGCCGAGGCCTTGCCGTGGGCCTCCACGCGGTCGCTGCCCCTGCTCCTCTTCATCCTGTCGTCCCTCACTTACCTCACGTGCAGCCTGCTGGCCCACCTGCTGCAATCCAAGTCGGAGCTCTCGCACTACACCTTCTACTTCGTGGACTACGTGGGCGTGAGCGTCTACCAGTACGGCAGCGCCTTGGCCCACTTCTTCTACAGCTCCGACCAGGCCTGGTACGAGCTCTTCTGGCTCTTCTTCTTGCCTGCAGCTGCCTTCTGTGGCTGGCTGTCTTGCGCCGGCTGTTGCTATGCCAAGTACCGCTACCGCAGGCCTTACCCGGTCATGAGGAAGCTCTGTCAAGTGGTGCCAGCGGGGCTGGCCTTCGTCCTAGACATCAGCCCGGTGGCCCACCGTGTGGCCCTGTGCCACCTGGCTGGCTGCCAGGAGCAGGCGGCCTGGTACCACACCCTCCAGATCCTCTTCTTCCTGGTCAGCGCCTACTTCTTCTCCTGCCCGGTTCCTGAGAAGTACTTTCCGGGTTCATGTGACATCGTGGGCCATGGGCATCAGATCTTCCATGCCTTTCTGTCTGTCTGCACGCTCTCCCAGCTGGAGGCCATCCTTCTGGACTACCAGGAGCGGCAGGAGATCTTTCTGCAGCGCCATGGCCCCCTGTCTGTCTACACGGCCTGCCTTTCTTTCTTCTTCTTGGCGGCCTGCAGCGCTGCCACTGCAGCGCTCCTGAGACACAAAGTCAAGGCGAGACTGACAAAGAAAGATTCCTGAGGCTGGCAGGTGGGGTGAGGTGTAGAGGCAGCCTGCCGTGATTTGGGGAAAGCTCAGTACAACAATAGGAGTTGACTTTTTGTTTTTAAGAGTTGCTTTTAAATTAACACATATTTCCAAGGATATGCTATGGCATTGGAAAGCCAAAGGAGTCAAGAATTTTGTTGTTAAAAGTTGTTGCTAATAAAAGGAGTATTACTTTTCCCTCTGTGTCACAGCCTTACGAGATACAGGAAAGGAAGGGACTTTGGCTAGGATTCGTGGGACACTGAATTAAGGACGATCTTTCTGCCTGAAAATTTAGTAGAATTTTGACTTTGGCCTCTAGGGCCAAGTCCTGGAGCTAAAGGGATTATAAAGTTGGACTGGAAAGTAAGTATGTGGCTGGTCCACACCGTATTGGAATGGCCATCCTACCATACTGGTCTTTGGTAATTGAGTAAATTGACCCAAGAACTTGATTTCATTTGGATTTCAGATTGTCCAGGGTGGAGAAGTCAGAAACTTCAAGATGATTCAGTGAAACCCTTAGACATAATGAATTGCTTGGTTCATCTGAGTTCTGGTCCCTCCTCTCTTGCCCACTTTGACACTGACCCTTTTCTCAGGATGACGTCTGCCTAGCTGTTTTCTCTACAGTGTACTCCCGTCTGTACTTTGCATGGTAATATAGAGGACTGTGAAGCAGTCATATTTCCAGGAAATGCTTGGATCCATGTGGACATTCAGGAAGCTTATTTTCATATACTACTAAACGGTACTAGAAAGTACAGTGCCAAGAGCCATCAGAAGGCCCAGCCAACAAGCATGGATACTGTTTTGTGTCATGAGACCCTTCTGTTTTATACCTGTGGACTGTAGTACTTGAGATCTATCAGGGCTATTTTACAGGCCAGAAAATCTGGGGCTTGTGCTAGGAAATCTCCAGATTTGGACCAACATGTTTAAAGAAACAAAACAAACAAACAAAACCCTGAATAGAATGAATTGGTTCTGGTTCTTCTAGGGATCTTATTATTTCAAGAGGAACCCAAGGTCCAGATTCTTAATTAGATGCTGCCATTTAAAGGACCCACATATCTTCCCTAGTTCAGGGTCTTCAGGCAGGAGGTTATGCCTCAACTTAGAGATGGATCCTTAAAATAATCAAGCCCCAGGACAGATGAGCATGTGTGATCACTGTGGGTTGGTCCCTGAAGACTCCTATGGGTAAGAATGGTGAACCAGGTACCCTGTAGCTAGAATTTTCTGTTGTCCAGTAGCTCCTGTGGGATAGGGGGTACTTGTGATTGATGTGTTCTGGCCACACAACCCTCTCTGAGGACTGATTTATGTATTAATCCAGTGAAGGGGGGTGTGTTGATGGAGGAGCCATGGGAGTCTTCTCAAAGGCTATGTTTCCTATCAGTATAAGGTCCCTTTTACTACAAAGGGAAGTACTTTGTTTTCACTCCAGTTTGATGAAACTCTTCTATTAATAGGTTATTTTATCTTCAGGTCTTTGTTTTTTTCCTTTCTCTGAGCAGTTTGTGGATTTTGTGCCTTACAAATGGAAACATATGAACAGTTTACTTAATACATGGCCATGCACAATTTTCAGTTTTGGGTTATTGGGATGAGAAAAAAAAGAATGCATTGCTTTTGAACCAGTGGGTGAAAGAAGAGTCAGAAAACCAGAATTACTTATAAATCAAAAGGCACTGTCAAATGGAAAAAAAAAAAAAAAAAAGACACTGTCAGTCTGCATTTTGGCAAAACAAAACAAAAAAAACACAACCTCAACTGAAGTTTTCCTATAATCTTCATATCAAGAAAGCGTATGTCTTGTCTGCTACATGGATTTCCTAGATGGACTTCTCTGTTAATCCTTAAATACCTGAACTTCTGTGCTACCCAAGTGTCTTACATAAGTTTCTGGGGTGCAAGCCAAATTCATCACAAATAAAGCTGACAAAACTGAAGCCAGTTGAACCAAACAAGGTGATGGGGGAATTATACAAACACATCGCAAGAAGAGGGTCAGTTTAAAATGTTTGAAATGTTCATTTTTATGGAGTCAAAGATCATATTCTTCTAAAAGTTAGGAGGAAAGTGTAAGTCAGGCTCTTGAATATGGCGGTGGTCCTGGTGGACAGAGATCTTCAGGCCAAATGCAGATAAATTTTAAGAAAATAGGAAATAGGACAGCAACAGTGATCTTCAAATGCAGTCAACAGACCAAGGTAAGCTGACACACTCTAAGCGGTCTATGACAAGTTCAGATAGATTAAGCTCTTTAAGATATTGCCACAAAATTATTACTTTAATTTACACAGGTATTGATCCCTCAAGTGGTAGGAAATTTTTTAAACATAAAGTTTTTCACCAGAGGTAATTGAGAGCATTGGGGACTAGATACCTCATTAAAATACCAGTATCATAAAAACAAACAGATGAGATAATCAGTGTCTTATTAGAAATATATAAACATAAGAAATGCAAATGTTTTAAATTACTCAGACTTTTGAGGGACTAAATACTCCTTTTAGAACATTTTCATTAAAATGAGTGTATCAGCCAGGAACAGATCTAGTTTACTTAAAAGAAATGATTAAGTATTTGATAAAGGAGATGATTGTTTTCTTCCAACATAGCCTCCCCAACAGTTGACATCTGGAAATTCTGCCGGTTCTCTATTAAAATAAATGCTTCTGGGAAACCTAAACTATCAGTCATTTACATCTTGTGAATAAAAATTCTGATGGATTTGTATGAGGCCCTACTCAGGGTAAGGAAATGGGGCATCAGGACGCAGCTGACTGGGGACACATTTGCCTATTTCCCTCTTGTCTAGTACTTTCTGACTTACATTTACTAATGAGCTAACGTCAGTACTCAGATGTTAAAAGTTTCATTTCTCACCTCTGCTAAGAGCACTTCACTAAATAATAACACTCTGAGTCCTCTATTGGAAGCTTGAAATAGTAGGAGCTCAGGTTGTGGAATGAAGGTAGCTCATTCCTGACTCCTATTCACAAATGGTACTTTTAATACTTAACCGGTTCTTCAGATGCTACACTGTAGTTTCAAGTGGACCCTCCAGATGGCGCTCATGTCTTACTCAGCGTGGCTATTGTATCCAAGTCTTTGGGCTGTTGATTGTATTGGTCCTAGTGTTTTGCTTGATTGCTTGGCGAAGAAAAAATGGGACTATTTTCTGTTTATATAAATCTACTTACACGAATGATCATTAAACAGATTTTGTATATATGGATTGTTCTACTGTCAGCAACTATCTTGTTTCTTTGACAAGGCCCCCTTGTCAAAGAAGGACTTCGTAAACAGGGTCTTTTCATAGTTCAAAAGAAAAACAGCTTGCTTTCTTAAGTCAGTTGGCTAAAGATCTCTACCTTAAAGAAAGGTTTTATCTAGACAAACATTAACAGAAGGAGGAGGTCAGGACATTTTATATCCACCTAGAAGTAGGGAAGTACAAAATCCTTAAAAATCTCCATACCCAAGCCCCCCAAATACACACACACACCCTAAATCCCCACTTGTGGAAAGATCATATTGCCATCTCCCCCGAAAGGTTATGGAGTTGATTTCTCTGAGGATATCCATCTAATTGAATAAAGTACTTCTAGTTTCATGGAAAATAGTGTTAAATGTTTTCAAAATTTTGAATCAGTGGACTACATTTTTAAAATACAAAAATTATGAATTATAATTGTACTGTAACAGCTACTATAATGAATGTGTTATACAATGTGGCACGTATACCAACTGTTATATTTAGTAGCTGTGAAAAAAAAGTCATTCTCCAGACTACTCCAGCTTCAAGCCATAGTACTATCACAACAGGGAGAAAATAGCATTTGTCTGGCTTGAGGCACCACTGAGAGAATTATGAATATCTCTCTTGCGCTAACCCTTTTCCGTGACCCCTGGGGGCCTTAGGCAGTTTGCAAATGCTTCTGTTGTCACTGTTAATAGTTTAACCGCTCTTCAGTTACTGATTCATCAAGTATTATGAGCACCTCTTGGTGCCAGTACCCGTGTTGGCTCTGGAGATACCACAGTGAGGAAAAGAATGCTGGGACCCTGAGAGTTTTCAAACTGCTAACTGAGACCCAGCATCTTCCCACATTGGGCCATCACAGGATCTCCCACTAGGTCTCAGTACTAGTCTGAGGGCCAGATGGCCAGCCAAACCCAGGGGAGTCTGGGACTTGTTCTGAACCAGAACATTTTTTAAAGGATTTGAAGTCTCTCCCTTTGCCCCCCAGAGACTAAAAATATCTTCCACCAGCAACTCTGTGTCACCTGTGATCACCTCAACCCTTCTTGTTATTCCTGTTGCTTTTCTAGCCCTTAACACTGTCCTCTAGTGTTTAATTCAGTCTCAGACCCAGTTGGCTCATCTGGGCACAGAGAAGCCCTGTATTTCCACAGGCAGTAGTTAAAAGTCCTAGGTAATTAAAGCCCCATCTGTCAGGGAATGTAAGGTTCCAACATGAGTACAAGTTCTTGATTTAGTAAATCAGAAACAACATGTTACACTCTATTTGCCTCCTTAAAAAAAAATAGTAATCATCTTATCCCTTAAGGAACTTTTATTAAAATAATATGGAAGGGAAAACTTTGCGATAAAAGGAAGATTGATTTAAATATTAATTTTAAGAACATATCTGTCTAAGGTAAAGGAAGATGTATGTATTGTGTTTTAGATTACAAGAGGCCTTGACCAACTCAAAGGCTACAGATTAACACCTCAGATCTTTTCATGCATTATGCTTTCGAAAACATTTCCACATCCATTCAAGCTTCCAAATAATCATGTGAAGTAAGGCCAAAAAGATCTCCACTAAACTAGGAAACATAGTGAGAAAGTGGAATGATTGGTTCAAAGTCACATAACTCATTATAATGTTTAAACTCAAATGCATTTTTCCTTCAGATAAATTCAAGGCTCAGCTAATCAGAAACGTCAACACCCAGATGTTTGCAGAGCCCATTACAGTG